GCTATTTTATTAAATCATTTGTGATTGTTCAGATTTTAATTCATAAACATTTTAATATATATATATAGTACTTTTTATAATAAATTTAAAATGTGTTACTTAGATATCTAAATAATTTATAAATTCAAATGTTTAAACTAATTGACAAATAATTTATAAATATCTATTTATTTAAATATGTAATTTTATTTAAAATAATTTTAAATATAAAAAAATTTATTTAGAAAATCGTATCGATCCTACCAATCCAACCGACTGGTGTTGACGGATTCGAGAACAAATATTTTATTCAACAAACTAGATTGGTTATAAATCGGTTCTCGGTCCATTCGGTCGGACTGTGTCCAACCCAGTTTAATTTAAAAACAATGAATAAATCATGATTAATGTTATTTATATATTTAATTTATAATACAATCGTAATATTGTTTTCTCGTGCATTGCACGGGCCACACACTAGTTTTGATATAAACATTGAACTTCACCCACAAAGATTGACTTCTTAGTCAATATATCCAAGAGTTTAAAAAAAAAAAAAAAAATTATTACAAAAAGATGAAAATGTGCTTTCCTAGATATGATATCACTAGTACAGAGCCCGTGCGATGCACGGAGTGCACAATTTTAAGGTTATTTATCCAGACTTATAATTATATACATGAATAAAGAAAAACGTACGGGATATATATAGTACGTGACCCGTGCGAAGCACGAGATATATGTATTTGGAGAATATTATATTATAAAATGCAATATTCAATAAAAGTTTATAATACGCAAGAAAATTGTACAATGTTCAATAAAAGTTTTATAATATTCAAGTGGAGTGTTAAAGTCTCTTGTACATTAAGACTACTGACAAAATAATATTTTAATCAATGAGTTTCTTTTCCTTGTAGCCAAATTGTGAATGTGATTTGAGGAGTATAACAAATCGATATATAGCTGACTTGCTTTTTTCATTGTAGTTTTTTTCTTTTTTTTTTTATAATGAATTTAAAGATATTCTAAAATATAGCAAAAATTAATTTGTTTATTACAATTAGAAATTTTACTAAATATAGACTCTCAATCTATGGTGTTAATCAACGTTTAAGTCTAAGAAATTAAGAATTTTTATCTCTTTTAATCAACGTTTAAGTCTAAAAAATAATAGAGTTATTATAAGTTTTTTTTCTACATCTTTTAAAACATTAAATATGAGCATGTTAGGGCTAGCTTGTAAAATAATTAATATATTATCTCACTAAAACATTTATACTAATAAAAATTTAATTTTAGCATATAAATTTTTCTCTTGATATAAGAGAAAGTAACAGTTTTACTTATTGTTGTTCACCATATAATATTTAATTATTATTTTATTATATAATAAAAAAGAAATATTGTTAAATAGTGTAGTAGAATTGTTATAAAATTATATAATTTTTTTTTTACAATATGGATTTAATATTTATTTATGATTTGATAATATAAACAATCTATACTTAACTTTGGCAAATAAAACAAATAAATGCTTTAGTAAGTATTTAATGTATATACTAAATAGAATATATTTGGTATAATCAAATACTAAATATAATCAAATAAGTCAAAGTGTACATTTTTATTTGGTATTTAATTTTTTTATTATTAAAATTTTTTTATTATACTTATCTTTTTAAATTAAAATAAATAAATAAATCAATTAAGTAAATAATGGTATTTAATGCAGTTGACTTTTCTGGATAGTAAATATAGTAAATAGAATCTCCTTTTATATAAGTATAGATTGTATAATACGGAAATAATAATACAATAAATGTTGTTGACTTTTCTTTATACTAAATTTGGTAAATGGTATACCTTTTAATATAAGTATAGATATGAAAGTTTGAATTTTGAATGTTTTTCTACGGTCCATGATTACTATTGCATGTCCACAATTTACTTGATATCGAATCTGATCTACTTTCCTGGAAATTATGAATGCCACAATCCAACTTTGTCAATGCAAATAAATAAATAATTAAATAAATGCTACATTAGAATAATTTTTTAAATCATTAATTTTGTATGTTTCTATAATAATTATATCATTTTAATTTTAATTTAACATAGTTTGTGATAATGTTGATCATTCTACTTATTCTTTCTTAACTTCCAATTTTTCCTTGAGTCAGTGTTATATTGCTGGAATGATTTACTTATTGGATTATTGAAAAATACACGTACGACAATATACATTACTCTTATTAATACATTATTATTAAAATCAACTATTAATTCAGATCTTGTCAACACAACATTTCATATATTGTTAATCAATCTGGCAAAATAAAATTAACTTTTTGGTGGCTTTGGACGGAAGTGTACTATAATTTGTAATTGAGATTTTAATCAACATTTAAAATTTCTTTTTTTTTTTTTAGTTGAATCGTGATCGTATCTACCTATTTTTTTGTCTGCCAAATAAAAACTTTTTCCCAAAGATTAAGGACAATTTTCTTCATGTAGTATTGATTAGCATTCTTAGCGGAGGAAATTGAGACGTCAAATTCAGGCTTTCTAGGGAGTCCCCAAAGTGTAATAAAGTAAGTAAATAATCACGTAAAATCACAATTGTATTTCTTAAAAGGTGGTTGAGAAAAAATCAAGAAGTTATTGGCAAAGGAAAAAATTGAGCCTTACGAGAGTGATTGGAATCCTATTCTACTGCCTTTACAAATGGCCTAAAGTCACAAAACAAATCCATCTCTTATACTTTAATTTCCCAAACTATTTCTTTACCCCTATGTTTTTAATCCCCAATATTATACTATATAAAGACAAGATAGTTATTATATTGTTTCAGTCGGTTTAACCACTCGTATGAAATAATTTATTTTTATATAAATAAATACAATTTTATTAACAACATCATACTTTGAAAGAAAAATGGCGGTATAAATATGCATTGTTATTATTCACATAATATAACAAGTTGATCTGTCTAGCGATTAGGTCATGCCATACAAGACTTTTCAACGAGGCGGAGAGAATAGTACCGAGGGTTGTAAATGAGCCGAGCAAAGCTGAGCTCGAGCTCTTAACGAGCCGAGTCCAGCTCGGCTTATGAAATAAACAAGCCGGAAATCAAACTTGAGCTTGTCCCGCTTATCAATATTAACGAATCGAGTTCGAGCCTTAAAGAGTCGATCTCAAGGGTTGACGAGCCAAACTATATATTGAAAATTATATAAAAATACTATTTTTGAGCTCTAACGAGCCGAGCCGAGCCCAGCTTGTTAACAAAACAAGCATTATAAAGTGAACACGAACTCGACTTGTTTATCAATCGAGCCGAGCCGAACTCGAGTCGATCCTAGCCGAACTCGATTTGATACTGGCTGAACTCGATTCAATACGAGCCGAGCCCACGAACAGCTCGTTTCGTTAAACAACTATAGTAGTACCTAGCTAGCTTAACTATAAATACTTTCACTTTTTAAGAGAATGATTCTCGTCACAGGTGACAAGTCATGCTTTATACATCTTACACTATCGTGATTTCGTAAAATTTATTCTCTTTGATCATATAGAAGTACAATAATAAGTCAAATTTTAATTACTTTTATCTTTATTTCATGCTTTTTATGTCAGTGTTTTCGATTGCATCGTATTTATCGTGTCATTTAGCTCTAAAATCATATTTTCTAACAATATATATCATGTTGTATTCTCGTTCCATGTCATACCACACATTTTCAAACATAGTTCTCCTACGTAGTGACAACCACATTAAACTATTTAAGTCGAGAATACTAATTGTCATACAAAGACAAAGCCATTCCACAAGTTGTGATTTACGTAGGTTCATATATGACATAACTCACATTTTAAAGAAAACTAGTGCGTGACCCGTGCGATGCACGGAAAAACAATATTACGATTGTATTATAAATTAAATATATAAATAACATTAATCATGATTTACCATTGTTTTTAAATTAAACCGAGTTGGACACAGTCCGACCGGATGAACCGAGAACCGGTTTATAACCAGTCTAGTTCGCTTGAATAATATATTTGTTCTCGAATTCATCAACATCAGTCGGTTGAACTGGTAGGATCGATACGATTTTCTAAATAAATTTTGTTATATTTAAAATTATTTTAAATAAAATTCCATATTTAAATAAAATAGAGATTTATAAATTATTTATCAATTAGTTTAAACATTTAAATTTATAAATTGTTTAGATATCTAAGTAACACATTTTATTTAATTTTATTTAAATTTATTTAAATTTAAATTATATATATATTAAAATATTTATAAATTAAAATCTAAATAAACCACAAAAGATTTAATAAAATAGCTTGATAAAAATAAAAATAAAAACATACACACTTAATAAATCTTAGTCGAATTTTTTAAATAATAAAATGAAGTAAAACCCAAAATTAAGGTAACATTTAATGCTATATGATTTTTAAAGAAAAAAATAAAAAAATAATAAAACTTATTATTTATAAACTACATTAAATTCTGACCTATTTTTTATTTTTGGTAAATAATAATTCTTATTATATATATATATATATATATAGATTGCAATTTAGCCAAAATAAAAACAATCCAAACCGATGACACCCACGACAAAATCACATTTTCCCAGCCTCAAACCTCACGAAAAATTGCATCCCCACTTTAGGAATTCAATACTTTTTTTTTCTTTGGTTTTTATTTTTTTGGGGTTTTCCCATTCAAACAGCACTCTCTTTGTAAACGCTGATCCGATAGTTTAGTCACAAAATCTGCATGTGTACGCCCCTTTGGCTCAACACCCCTTCTTTAATGCATCCAAACAAAATAAAGACAATTGTTTAAAATAAAGAGAAAATCAAGTTTTCCCTTTTTTTTCTAAAAAAAAAAAATCCCTTTTTTGAAGTTTTTCAGTTACTTTATTTGAAGGGGAATGGAGTAAAAAAATGCTATGTCAACCTCCAATAAAAATACACAAAAGACTCTCCACCCTCTTTCTTGTTCTTTATCATTATCATCCTGATTTTTTATTTTTTTCTCTTTTTTATATATATATTTTTTTTCTTTTCTTTATATATTTAAATGAGGTGTTGGTATCAAGGCATTAACCTACCAAAAACAGAGACGAGCCAAAGATTTAGTTTAGCATTACAAAGGCTGAGGAAGTTCTTCCAGTTCTAAACATTTTCTAGTTCAATTGTGAGAGATATCAGAAAAAAAAATAAAAAATAAAAAAGTTTTTTCTCAATTAAGGGCATGTTTGGTTAGATGGCAATTCAGGCGCAGCTCTACTCTGAGAATTTCGTGTTAGGTCCTCAGGATATGTTGATGATGGAGAACGGTTATGGTCTCGATAATTTCTCTTTAGTCCCTCAATGCCAACAGCAAACAGTGACTATGATGCAGTTTGATCGGAAAAATATGGAGTTTTTAGCTCAAAATAATGATAACGGCAATCAATTTCTCCAACCAATCGCGAAACAGAGCATTGAGTTCGAACAGTGGATTCATTTACAGGTGAGAAACTAACATTAAAAATTTTCTTCAAAATGTGCTCATATATATTAACAAATATATTTAAATTGCTTTTTTTTTTTGGAAAAAAAAAACAGAGCGAGAGATTGAGATTGGGGATAGAAAACCAGATGAAGCTGCAAATGTCGTCCCTGCTCGAGAAATTCGAGTCGAGGGCTCGCTTTCTGTTGGCGCAGAAGGACGGAGAGATAGCGAGGGCGTCGGGAAAGACGGCGGAGCTCGAGGATCTTCTGCGGAGGCTGCAGATCGAGAGCCTGACGTGGCAGAGGATCGCGGCCGAGAACGAGTCGGTGGTGGCGTCGCTCGACGTTGCGATCCAACGGCTGAGGGAGTCAGCGTCCGCCGAGGATGCGGCGTCTTGCTGCCACGACGGGGGAAATGAGTCGGAGGAGCGTGGCGGGGACGCGGCGGGGTTTGGGATGTGCAGGGCATGCGGTTTGAGAGGGTCGCGCGTGGTGATACTGCCGTGCAGGCACGTGTGCTCGTGCGTGGAGTGTGAGGTGTTTCTGGATAACTGCCCTGTTTGTAGAATGGTGAAGAAAGGTAGCATAGAGGCATTAATTTAAAATAAACAATTTCATTTTATTTTATTTTTTTAATTTTAGTTTATGTTATAGACTTATAGGAGATTAAAGTTTTTTGATCCTTAAATAATAATAGTAATAATACATACTAATGTAGTTGTAAGTTGGAAGGTCTTTAGTTATTTTTGTTTCGGTTTATTATTCTTTTAGAATAACTAATTTCAACATTAGGTTAACGTGGCAGGGAAAAACATGTGGGTTTAAGAGCATCTACAATGCTTTGGTCTAATTGTGCTTATGTGGCATGTAAATAGACCTAAGTATTGAATGACATGGACAAAAAAAATATAAAAGTAACAAATTTAATTCCAATACAAAGAGCCTATGTTTCTACTTGGGTCTAAAATAGACCTAAGGCTAGACCGGGTCTCTTTTTTTTGCTGCCACATAAGCAGGACCCGGTCTACTTGTACTTGCATTGGAGTACATATTTTTCTTGACTAGATCTATTTCTTATGTGGCATGTATATTTTTGTGAATGAACCCAAAGCATTGTAGATGCACTAAGAATAAAAATAATTGAGTGAAGACTTGAAGCTATATTATGCAAGAGTCACACTTAGAGAACCATACTTATTCAATTTCTAAATTGAAATATCATAATTTTAAAAATAACATAAATAAAATCATGGCATTTCATATCTTAAGTATGTATTTCGTGATATAAGTATGACAGATTAACTCGCATAACGGTCATACCATTTTAAATTGAAATGTCATGTTCTAAAAAATATAATATATACAAATATGATATTGTATGCATTTTGTTATATAAGTATGATAGATTATCAAGATTGAAACTAACAATCTGAAGAAACAAAGATCAAATCTGAAGAAGGAGGTAGAGAGATAGAGAGAGAGGAGAGCGGCGAGAGAAAACCAGAAAAATGAATAGAATGAATTAATTAGGGTTTGTGTACATGATTAGGCTATTTATACTCTTAGCTTATAAGTGTAATGTATAACAGCTATATCTATACTAACACTACTTTAAAATAAGTAACACTTTTACATAATGAATAGCAATTCTAACATAATGAATAGCAACCCTAATACCCCCCCCACACCCCCAGCTATACATGAATATTAGACATGTGTAGCTTGGATTCAGGATATGAAAAAGCAGGACCAACAAGAGGTTTGGTGAGAATGTCTGCCACTTGCTCTTTGGTGGGAATGTATTGAAGTGTGATGAGCTTCTGACTTAGTTTTTCCCTGATGAGGTGGCAGTCAATTTGGATGTGTTTGGTCTTCTCATGGAACACTGGATTGGATGCAATGGCCATTGCAGATTTGCTTTCACAAAAAATAACAACTAGGGAAGGGTGTGATAAGTGTTGATCTGTAAACAAATATAAAAGCCATTGTATTTCACAAGAAGTGGATGCAAGAGCTCTGTATTCAGCTTCTGCTGAAGATCTACTAATGGTAGATTGTTTATTTGATTTCCAAGATATAAGTGAGTCTCCAAGAAAAACACTATAACCAGTTAAACTCTTTCTAGTCTCCAAACACCCTGCCCAATCACTGTCACTAAAGGCTTGCAATTGTAATTTTGAAGAACTTGAGAAAAACAACCCTTTACCAATAGTCCCTTTAATGTATCTGAGTACTCTGTGGGCAGCTACTAAATGACTTTTAGAAGGATTGGACATGAATTGACTGAGTATATGGACACTATAAGCAAAATCTGGTCTAGTAATTGTTAAGTAAAGAAGTCTACCTACCAACCTCCTGTATTCTGAAGCATTTGTAGGCTCTGTGCTGTTTGATTGTGAACTGAGTTTAAAAGAGGATCCATTGGGGTGCCAGCAGGTTTACAACCAAGAAATCCTGTATCTTTTAAAATATCAAGTGCATATTTCTTTTGGCACATGTTTATTCCTTTCTCAGAATGGGCAAATTCAATGCCTAATATATATTTCAATGTTCCCAAATCTTTGATAGCGAAACAATGATCCAAATGAGCTTTAATGGCATTTATTTTCTCAATACTATTACCAGCTATGATCACATCATCAACATATACTAGTAAAGCAATAAAAATAGTGCCATCAAAGAAGGTAAATATGAGCAGTCAGACACAGATTGGGTAAAGCCATAGGAAAGTAAACAAGTTGTGAGTTTGTGGAACCATTGTCTTGAAGCCTGTTTCAGGCCATAAAGACTTTTGGTTAACCTACATACTCTTTTATCAGACTTAGCACAATAGCCAGGTTGAGGTTTCATGTATACCTCTTCATCAAGGTCTCCATGCAAAAATGCATTGTTAACATCTAACTGTTGAATGGTCCATTTCATGATAGATGCTAATGCAACTAGAAACCTAACAGTAGTGATCTTGGCCACAGGAGAGAAGGTATCAAAATAATCTATACCTTCCTCATGTGTATAGCCTTTGGAAACTAATCTTGCATTATATCTTTTAACACTACCATCAGATTTATATTTTATTTTATAGACCCATTTACAACCAACACAGTTTTTACCTTCAGGAAGGTCAGTTAAATACCAAGTATTGGTGTGTTCTAATGCATCAATTTCCTTTTTCATTACAGCCTGCCAAAATGGATCTTTGACAGCTTGAGTGTAAGAACTAGGTTCAGTAAGTTTTGAAATAGTTGCAGTGAAACAGGAATGTGATGATGAGAGATTGGTTGTGGACAAATAGTTTTGAATAGGGTAAGGAGTTGTCCCAGAAATGTTTTGTTTAGTATGGACAGAGTTAGAAGACGGTTTGATAGTGTGGTCATAGATATTTAGGTATGCTGGTACTTTGTGGGTTCTGTTTGTTTTTCTTGTAGGAACAATAGGCATATTTGTATTGGTTTGTGAGGGATCTGGAGAGCAATTGAGAGGTGGTGAGTTATCAGATGGGTGACTATTGGCAATAGGAGAGGAGTTGATAGGACTATTTGCAGTAGGAGAGTAGTGAATTATTTATGTAGCTGGGGTGGTTGAGGTTTGCATATTGGGTTCTGGGAAATAAGTAGGAGATGGAGGAGGAAATAAAGGTCCAGGAGGTAAAGTGTCTGGCTTGGAAAAAGGAAAGGTAGTATCATAGAACTGAACATTTCTGGATATTATTGTATTCTTGGTATCCAAGTTGTAAAGTTTATAACCTTTACAGCTTAATGGAGTAAATCGGCGAGATCGGAGATAGATCGGAGCAGATCTAGGGTTGCGAGTTCTCGAGTGAAAAACCCGTTAGAGATCGGATTTGCAGCGGAAAAGTGAAGAGTAAACAGAGAATCAACCGGCGAATGATACCATATCAAGATTGAAACTAACAATCTGAAGAAACAAAGATCAAATCTGAAGAAGGAGGTAGAGAGATAGAGAGAGAGGAGAGCGGCGAGAGAAAACAAGAAAAATGAATAGAATGAATTACTTAGGGTTTGCGTACATGATTAGGCTATTTATACTCTTAGCCTATAAGTGTAATGTATAACAGCCATATCTATACTAACACTACTTTAAAATAAGTAACACTTTTACATAATGAATAGCAACTCTAACATAATGAATAGCTACTCTAATATAGATCGACCAACGTAACGGTTAGACCGTTTCACCTTAGAATTTGTAAGAAATATTTTAGTAGGATTGACCACATGCAATTATTATTCATAAAATCTTGTATCAACACCAGTCTAACTATTAGACAAATTGATTTATCGTATATAATAATAAATATGCATTTTTTTTGTGTGTGTGTATGTTTTTTAAAGTGTCATATATTTAATTTAAAATTATTGATATCTGTTGAAAAAAAAAATGATAGATGTAAATCTTGTTCACAACAGTCTCATGGATAATCGTTTGCCAAATTTGTTATAAGAGTATTTGATCGAACATAAAACTTTGAAGTCTGATTTTGTTAAAATAACTTTGGCTAGGGAGGAAAAAGTCTCCATTCACTTTGATTGTCGGATTTGGATAACCTATGATCTTTTTTTACGTGGATTAAGCAAAAAATAAAGTCACGTTTTTTCCTACTTTTTCTCTGGAAATATGGATTTTTGTTCAAGCCAAAACATTTAATTAGACATCTACTTAATTATTTGGAACTCGAAAGATTGAAATTATTGTACTTTTTTTATACTTTAATGTTACTTGACGTGGAGTTTATTGCACCCAATAAATAGTACACTTATTCTTTTGACCAAACTTTATGTGTGCTGTGCACAAGTTTTCACTTTTCACCCACCTGCTTTACCAATATTAACATGCTTGAGTCATGTGTGCAACGCATGTGCTTTATAATAGTACGAAAAATCATTAAAACAGTCATAAAAATAAAAATAAACACGATTATTATATTATATATCATGTATATAAAGTTTTTATTTGCAAAATATATGGCCAGTACAATAATATTTGTGAAATACTTCACTAATTTTCATAAGGTAAAAAGCCAAGGGCGGAAATTACTTGACATTTCGAATTGGGAACAACAGTAAAAGAGTTAAACGAATTGACCAATTCGGTTTGGCTCTACTCATTGAGGCTCAATTACAATCTCATTTCGTTAAAACAGTCAAACTCGACTCGGTCGTTAAAGCTCGTGAATATGAGCTTTATATAATTTTCTAATTTTTTACTTTGGCTTGGCTTGTTAAGGTAAATGAACCGAGTTCGAACTAGTTCAGGTCATGTGCCGAGCTCGACTTAACTTAATAAAGACCCGAATTCGAGTACTAAAGTTTTAATCTCTTTGCAATTCAATGACTTGCAAATCAATTTGTATGTGGTTGTTCCCCAAACTCTCCTCTCCTTTTAGTCGAGCATATGTTATATTATAAATTATAATATAACTAATGTACTCAGTATGATTTCTTACGTAATTTTCCAACATAAAAGAAAAAATGCTTAATTTAATTTCTCCACTCTTTGAAGAAAATATNNNAAAGGGTTGCCTTTGCTTTATTGCATATTGCAATTTATGGTAATGACGTGGAAAAATTGCACATCCGTGATAGTTGTTGGTGTTTGATTGAAATGGGAAAAAGGCTATTGGGCTACTTTTTAGAACTAATTTTGGCAAAGTATATTTGGACTAAATGTTGGATTTGCGGTCTCGAATATAACACAAAAAAGGGCTGAGTTATGAAGTAGACATTTGGCCCAATTCCAGGCTGTATCCTTTAATGGATTTTTGGCCTTTCCTCTATTTGGAGTGGCAAAATGATAGTACAACATAGTTCTCTCTCTTTATTCTTTTGTTAAGAAAAATACAAGTACATAATAAATATAAATATACATAAAAGTGTACATAACACTCAAATGGAACTGGATCCACTTGATTTTTTATTTTTGGTAGGACCCACTTAATGTGAGTGTTATGCACACCTCTATATATAATATTATGTTCCTATAACATTTCTGTTTT